AGGGTAGGGATCCGGAGGTGGGGGGGGGGGGCGTGGGTCGGTCCTGTGCCCGTAATAGGGCTGGGCTTTTGGGGAATGTGGTCATTTCCTCTGGTGTGTCTAGAGATGCGCCCTGGCTCAGTCTTGGGGTTCTAGCGTTGATTTGGGGCCAGTGAAGGCAACAGCCCCCCTCCTTTGTAGGGTGGGGATGGGGAGAAGACAACCTCGGCTCTTCTACTTAAGAGTAGGAGGGGAGGAGGAGGAAGAGAGGAAGAGAAACTGGGTACTCCGCTAGGGATGCATGTGGGAGGGAGCCTCGGTGCTCCAGAAAGATTGGGGAGGGGGGGGTTCCTGCCTATGTGCCTCCATTTGAGACCCCCTCATGCAGGATCAGGGAGTGGAGGCGGCAGCAGCCAGTTTGTGGCACAAGAAGGTGTGTGTGTGTGAGGGGGTTCCCCTCCCCTGGAAAATAGGTGCTTTGAACAAGGTGGTTAAAACCAAGGATGTTTTCTCAGGGTAACTGAATATAGATGAGTTGTCAGGTTAGCCCAGGAAATGGAGGCTTGTAGTTGTACCTAAGCTTTTCCTGTGTGCACGTTGCCTCGTTCACCAACATCTAGTTATAAGAGTCTTTGTAATTTAGTGCTGTCACATATCCTTTTTTTAAATACTGGCCAAGCTTAGTTTTTCATCTGTGCTTTTTTTAAATTGGGGAAATGACATTGTTCTTACGGGTTTGAACTACTCCTTCATCGCGTTTCTCTGTCAAATGCAAACTGAAATGGGCCTTATCTCTTTGCCTGGTGTCGTCTTTGTTGTCACATTCAATCCTACCAGAGTAAGATAGCGACGCCGTACAAGAAAATATTATCTTAGGCTTGAGTAGGCCCCAGTTAAATTGCAGGAAGATCTTTTATGCTTTCAGGTATGAATAAAAACTTCAGCTGCTGTCAAAAGTTTTAAAGAACTACAGTATTTCTTGTGTGATAGCAAGAAGAATTTCGAAATGATGATTCAGTGGCTTGTGTCGCAACTGTTTTTTTGGGCCATGGATTTGATTGAACTTTGCCCTTATTTTGAGAAATGCAAAGGCTCTGGAATAGGTTAGGCATCATTGTGAGTAGTGAGGATGGGTGATAGGAGGAGGGTATATGCTCATGTCAGATGCACGTACTGTGCTATAAAACAACTTTAAAGGAGTCTTGAAACTAATCAGTGTGTTAGCTTAGGTTGGCACTGTAAGCATATTCTATTTGGTAAAGATTGAATCTTGTTGGACAGAATCCTTATGTCAGAGTAAGCATGGGCAGGATTGCAAATATAAGGAAGGAAAGAGCAACAAGAGATTGGCTTAAGCCAGTCTATGCATCAGAAAACCTAATGGTCACAAGGGAAACCTATAGGCATACAGCACTCCTTTGTCTTGGGCAAAGGTCCCTGGAAGCAAAGTCGAGTGTGAGCTTTTGTTTTTAAGCAGCAGATGCCTTTCCAGTATTTATTGCCTTGAGCACCAAGAGGTAGTAGAAAATCCTGGAAGAAGAGTTCCAAATGATTATCAAGGATCTGACTGCCTTTGCATTTTTGTTGCAAAACTGTAAAACAGAATATGCCTTCTGACAGTACTATAAATGTATTGGATGTTCTGCGGGCAGATAGAAATGCTTGTACCCTGCCTGTAACACAGATAATGGGGAATGTATCCCCCTCTAGATAATCAATTGCAGTCTTCATCAGCCCTAGCCAGAATATAAAAATTAGAATAGAGATGGCCCAACAAGCATGAAAAATGTAGTATGCAACCAAACTTAAAACAGGCTTTGAGAATGCACATTGTAGAGTGCTACGTATTTGTTTTTAATTCTGCTACAGAACATAAAACATAGGTTACTATAAAAAGGTAGGAATACCTGAAGTGTGGATTTATCACAGGATGTGAAGAATTTCTTGAATTGTGAATATGAATAAAAGACCAGGGAACAAAAGAAAAACTGATAAAATGCAAGTTAAAATACTTTCGTTACATATTTTCCAAAATCCTGTTGCTTGGTGTAGTAAAGAGTAGGCCCACTGAATCAATGGGACTTTGGTGAGTCAACTCTTCCATATGTTCCATTGATTTGTTTGAATCAATGAAGCTTATGAGGAGTAGACTCACTAACTCCCCATTGATTCAGTGGGCCTAGTCTAGTGAGATTTACTACATTAAGCAACCAGATTTTGGCCAATAAGAAACAAAAAAAATCCCACAGATTGTTACAGCTGATCATTGAAAGTGAATCAGAAAGAGGTATAAGAATTGGAATAATATACTGACTTGGTTTGGATACCTCACACTCTCATTGTTTAGAGCTACTACAGCCAGAGTCTGTACAGCTATGACCACATGTAGCTTCTGATAGGAAGGAGGTAGCAGGTAGAAAGGAAAGAGTATGGCTTGTGGAACATTAGTCGGTGGGGTTTCAGACTGGAATTCTGATATATGACAAGAAGCAGTAATAACTCTAGTTGTCTATGGGAAGGAAATATTGGTCTGTGCTTTTGATGAGGTGAAAGGTGTTTCTGAAATAATTTAACTCTTTTTTTTTTTACTTTTAAAAAGATTAGGTATGGTCAAAAAAATTTAAAAATTACGTTCCAAAACATGTTTGGTATATTGCAGGGCAACCCCGTTGAAGACAAGCCAAAAGAAATTAAGCCCTATATGAAATAAAGCATTATACAGTGGTGCCTCGCTTAACAGGCGCCCCATTTAACGATGAAACCACATAGCGATTAAGTTTTTGCGATCGCATTGCGATGATCTAGATAGGAAAAAATCACTTTGCGATGATCGGTAAGCTGTTTCGCTTACCGATTTTCGCTTAGCGATGTTTTCCTAACAGCTGATCGGTGGTTCCAAAATGGCCACCGGGTTTTAAAAAATGGCCACCTGCTGTGTTTTTGCGCTGATTCCTCGCTTACCGGGCAGCGAAAATGGCGGCCGTATGGAGGATTTTCGCATAACGGTGAGTTTTTTGCCCATAGGAACGCATTAAACGGGTTTTAATGCATTCTTATGGGCTTTTTTATTTCGCATAGCGACGAATCCACATAGCAACGATTTTTCCGGAACAGATTATTGTCGCTATGCGGGGCACCACTGTACGTCATTCTGCAGAGTAGAATGGCTATGATTTCAAACAGATATTCAAACATTAACTCAGGTTGAATGGAATGGGTTTATATCCAAAGCTTGCTTCTTTATGAATGGCGTGTGTGTTTGCACTCCTGTGGCTGAAGATAACTGCTGGACAGGATTGGGAATGTGTATGAATACACTCAGCCTCGCAGGGGGGAAATGCTAGTTTTCTATGCCTCTGACTTTCCCGTTCTTTCTCCCCATCCCCCAATTATTTATTTATTTATTTATTTATTTATTAGACTTATATACCACCCCATAGCGCTACAAGCACTCTCTGGGCGGTTTACAATTTCCAGCTGGTCGGGCTGCTGCTGATTGGCGTGGCTGCCTGGGGAAAAGGCTTCGGCATTGTTTCCAGCCTCCACATCATCGGAGGGGTCATTGCTGTGGGTTTCTTCCTGCTTCTCATCGCCATTGTGGGGCTCATCGGTGCTATCAACCATCACCAAGTCATGCTCTTCTTTGTATCCTTCTGTGCTGTTGCCAAACCCCAGCTTTTTGTGTCTGTCTGGATGCCTGCTACCAGGGAGCAACTGATCCTTGATGATCTTGCTGTTTATTGCCAGCCACAAAATCTGATGTACCAGACTAAACTGTGATAGGGTACCTAGTTGTAGGATCAAAAAACTTTATAGGTAAAGTCAAAGTTCTAATTTTATTTTGTTTTTTTTTCTCTCGTTTGTGGCCTCATGGATGCCCCCATGCTGGGCTAAGTCATTTATCTCTCTTTCTCGCTTGTTTCTCGAAAATCAGCCAGTGCCAAAATAGATACCTTCTGTTTTCTTTCTTCTTGAGAACTGATAGTTGGCATTAAAGTTGCTCTCTGAATGTGCTTGCTTTGTTTGGAGCATGTGGTGTGATTTAGTCCATTGATGAACAAAGAAGATGGGTTAGTGGAGGGTTCAATTTCATGCAAGAAGTGAGTATCTGATCTTTACCCTTCCCATCATCTAAAAAGAAAGGGAGGCTATAGATCATTGGAAGAGAACATGTTTTATATGGGAAAGATCTCAGCTTCAGTTCTTGACATCTCCAGTCGAAAAGGGAAAAAGAGCAGGCAGGCAGTGACAGGAAAAATCTCTGCTGGGGAGCCATTACCAGTCAGAATGGACAACACTAGTTAAATGAACAAATGATCTGACCTCATATAAAGCAGCTTCACATGACTTAGTCTATGAAGGTAGGAGAATAACACTGCCCACTGTTTGATTTTGGTCCTGTATCTGTCATGTTATGCAGTTTGAGCCCAGTAGCCTCTGGATTCAGTTAGGGCTGTATATGGGGGAAATTGATAGATTTGATTTATTTCAGGTTCTTCTAGGGATCCCTGGTTCATTTTGGGTCTTTTGCTTTCTAGTCCTTTCGTTAGAAATAAAAAAAGACTGGTTGTTTTGGGTTATTTAATTTTGTTTTTTCAAATACATGCCCTGTCTGGCTTTCGTCCAAAAGCCCTAAAGAGCCCTTAAAATAATATAAAAAGTAGTGGCAGGGCCACGGTAAACTAAGCAAATGACACATTAAAAAATCGGTCTAGCAAACACACACACACACACACAGGCTAGTAAAGAAAAAACACTCTCCAGAACACCAAGGAGACAAATAAAAGCAAAAAATATAGTCAAAGCTTCCCAAACCAAAACAACTATAGTATGAGATTTCGTTCCCCTCTACCGCTGATGTTTTCTGTTCTCTTTCTTGAGTCCGCCACGTGCAGCAGCAGGCAGCAAAAAATAATCTAGAAAAGAAAAGGGAGAAAAGTGGGGGGGGGGGAAGAGCCAAAGAAAGCAAAAGGGCAGAGTCTGAAAATACAATTCCAAAGAGGCAGACTGGCACCATAGGCAGGTCTGCCTGGTGTCAGCAGCAAACATCCTAAGAAATTAGGAGGGAATCCACAAGCACAGGTGGGCAGCACAGTCAAGATGGAGGCACCATGGAGCTCAGCAGCACACAAACCCCACCTATAAGGAAGCAAAGATCATTCTTCACTGGTAGCAACCAATCTGAACCTTTCTACAAAAAGTTCTCTCTGTGAATATTCTGATTGGCCGCTGATAGCAGCCCTTAAAACACTGTCTGATTGAACATTTCCAGGTGAAGGAATGAATAAATGAAAGAGGGAAATATGAAAGAATCAAAAACTTTTATGTCCTTCTCTTTCACTAAAATGAGTTTGGTTTTAAGATCCTCTCTTTGGGGAATTAATTAAGGATTGTGAAAATGAAGGCAAGTGCCTTTTTGTGCTTTTCTCCATTCATGTTAACCTAAATCTCATTCCTAGGTGAAAAGAATGTTAAAGATATGTTAATGAATGTTAAATCTGATATGTTACTATATCAGATTTACAAAATCTGAGTATAGCAACATCTAGTAACAAAAATTTCTTTTTTACACCTGCTAGACCACACCAGACAACATCATCTCATGTTACTATCCCCCTGTGTTGAGAGCATGGCATACATGTAAAGAGGATTAAATGTGCTGCTGGATATTGCCAAAGCCCTTGAAATTCACAAAAATGATTGAGAATAATGTAGGAGGAGGAGGGTCGTGTCTTGTGCAATCTTGGAGGTAGTGTTTTGAACCCAAGATTGCAGTGCTGCTTCTCACTGATTAACATAATTGGAGCCTTGTATGATTTTTCAGTATGTGTCTTTGACTCAGATCTGTGTGGTTTTGCAGTACATGTCTGTGATGTATAAGCTATTGATTGATTGAAAAATCTGGCTTGTTACATCAGACAGCAGAGAGGGCTGCTGCTTTCTGCAGGGTAGGATGAGGTTGCATAGATGCAGTCTCACTAGAGTAGTAGGGTGGAGAGCAAATAGCTATTTAGTTGCTACATTGTGGGGAATCCTGTGTTTTGGAGATGGCTCTGAATCAAAGGAAGATGGACCCTGTGAGCGGCATCTTGATGCAGCTTTGTTAGCTAGAAGTGGGATTCGAGTAAGATTTTTTTTTTCAAATGGAAAAGGAATATTCCACCTTTAATGGAAATCTCTGAACCTTGTGAAATCTTGGATGCTCTTTATATCTGGAGACTGTTGGCTGCTGTGCCAAGACCACAAAAATCTGAGAGTGGGCTTTTAGTGGAGCAGCAGTTAATTTCAGGCTGGCCACTGTCTTGGGCTATCATTTTGTTTCATCAGGACACTTTATAGATTATCTCTTTGCCATCCACTACACCCCACAATGATTACTGGGTTGAATTGCAGAGTTTCCTGTAATTGTGAAACCACTTCTTCATTTACATGAGATGGGTAAAATGCTGAGGTTGGTTTTCAGTAGTCATTGAGAGGAAGCAGAAAATTTTGTTAAGCGTTTCTGGTAGTGTGTTCTAAGGAATCTGGTGAAAAGCCTCTTATAAATAGCATATCTATAATAGATAGATAAATATACAACTCTCATGTGGGGCTCTCATTGGTCTCCTGTCCAGTTACTGCATAGATGCATAGCTTAGTTTCAGTGGCTTTACAGCATCAGGTGTTTCTGATTATTCTTTCCTAAAAGGATTATTCTTCCTTTTAGACAGGATGCATGACCTAATTTGCTGAGGTTACACAACCATTGCCTTCTTTCAGTTCATCAGCATAGTGCACTGGGTGACTGGTTCAATAAAGCCACAGTGCACACAGGAGAGGATTACAGAAGTGTTCCACAGGAAAGCTGGCATCTCCTTTTTCAAACGCTGGGATCAAGCAATGGAAGCTGCCCAACCTGCACTGGTCTGCAATCTGTCTAGATTCTTGAGGACCCTTTCAGTCTAAGGGAGGGGCCAGTATGGCAGACACAGAGCATGTAGTTTGCATGCTGAATGTCCCAACATTTCAGTCCCTGCTGTCTCCACTGAAAAGAAACTTAGGCAGCAGGTAATGGAAAGGCTATTTCTTTGCTGAAGAGCTGCTTCCAGAGTAGGCTTCATTGGACTAAAGGGGTTGACATAGTGTAAGGCATCCTCCTGCATTCACTTTGACTACAGCAAAGGTGTGGGGGGATCTTGGAAATTTGGAAATGACTTTCTCAGTCTTTAAAATTCCTTAAGACATTGTTCTTCTTGCAGAGTGTATATGCCTAAAAAGACTTCTCTCCACATTCCTAGTTTCCTAGGTTTTTTACAGTGTTTTGGATAGGCACCAGAAATGGGCAACTAGATGTGGTTGGTCTGCAGTTCCCATTAGCTCTAGCCAATGGAGAAGAAATACATGAGTTACAGTCCAGAAAAACATCTGGGGCCACAACCAGTCACCCTGGTCTACACACTCCCACAAAAAAGGCACATACACCCTTTTCACTGCATTTACTTCATAATGTGCACTTTTTTAAAGGTGTAGAGCAAGTTTTATATGGGACGTCTGTTGTGTGAAATAGCTTTAGACTAGATTCTTAAGCTGGGAAAGCCATAAGTATCAAGTTGAAGAACTTCAAAACTTCCCTGTCCAAAATCCTGTTGCTTAGTGCAAGCCAAATTATAAGGTTGGGTCTATTCCTCCCTGATAAACAGAATGCTCCTGTTGTGATTCTTGGGATATCGGTGCAGATACTGCCCTGTCAGAATCTTCATTTATTGTTGATGTATGGCAGGTCTACTATGCCTTTATTTTGGTGATCATACAACCCCATCTCTAGCTAGCAAACCCAGGTCGGGGTAGTTAGGGAAGAGCATTTTAAAAAAAACAACAGAGAGAGAGAGAGAGAGAGAGAGAGAGAGAGAGAGAGAGAGAGAGAGAGAGAGAGAGAGAGAGAGAGAGAGAGAGAGAGAGAGAGAGAGAGAGAAAGAAAGAAAGAAAGAAAGAAAGAAAAAGAAAGAAAGAAAGAAAGAATTAGATACTGGAAGTCTTAGAGCAAACTTGGTTTTCTTTTGAAGTTGTGAGGAGCCAAGGCTGGTAGATGATTTGAGGGGGAATGCAAAAAATTCTTCAGAATAAATGGACATCATCTGGTAAAGTACAGTCAGTTTGGAAAGCTTGAATTAAAAAATAAATAAATGGCAGTTTATTCTGTTTATGGTATTTATATTGTGTCTTTCCATTATGATTTTATCCAATGTGTCTTTCTGTGATAAACTGGAAGAAACCAAAAGGCTTTATTTGAAACATAAGCTTGTTGGTTCTGCCCATGTTTTTCTCATTCGTTTCCTTAATAGTGCATTCTCTTCAGTATATGATAATTCTAGGAATAGTCTTTATTTTCCAGTTTGGAATTTCCTGTTCATGCCTGGCACTCAAAGAAAGTAAACAGGTAAGCCTGCCTTCCCACCCGAAGCTTGCTTAGGTTTGGAGGCAACATGCATAATCTTTAGCCCGCACGTCAAGCTACGGCATGTTTGTCTGTTGGGAAAGGGTCTATTGGACCAGGAAGTGGAACAGCAAAGAACAAAACCCTGAGTATTAGGCAAATCGCCTCTTCTGGTAATTGCTTTTGCATGCCTTAGAAGAGCCTATGATAGAGATGCAGACATGTGAAATCAGGGATCTGGTGCTTTCTTGAGGAAAGAAGCTATTGGAAGGGACTAGTAGGCTTTGGTTAGCAGGGATGGAGTCAAAGTGCACTATTCCTCTTGGCTGCCTGAGCTTAGCAGTGGGGAGATGCTTTTGTTGTTCCACACAAAATACTGTAGTACATTTTCTATTTGTTCAACATGTCCTTCAACCTGGTTGCCTACCTGCCCTCAAGCGCATCCAGTCTACACCTTAACATCCATGGGTGAGTTTTCTACTGTGGCTGGGACTGCAGGAAAGGACAGCACAGCAGGCTGGACCTTTTCTCTCTTTTTTGCAGAAGCACTGCTAAAGTTCCGAGTGCACTCTAGTAATTCTTCTGTTCCTTGAAATCATTGACTATATACTCCTGTTTGGACACAATGCAACTTTGCAGCTTCACCTTAAAACTTCCTGGTCTGTTTAACAACCATTGTGAGTGACTTGGTTAAGGTGATGAAGAACTGAGCCGCTGTGACCATATCAAACTGATTGAAGAGGCTTCTGTTTCAAGCCACATATGCTTTCTCTCTCTCTTTCTACTTTTTCCTTGCAGCAGATCCTCTTGAGTGGTGCCTGGAAGATGGTGAAGGACGACAACACCAAGAATTCATTGGAAAATAACTTAAACTGCTGTGGCCTGTTCAACAAAACTGAATTTGCTGAGACATTTGAGACTGACGTTGACTCATGCACCGCAGTAAGTGTATACTTCTGAAATACTTTGGGCCTTTCATGTTGCAGACAACAGAGCAACATCTCTCTATGGCTTGAGCTTGCTGAGAACTGTCGGGTTGGCTTCGAGTAGTAGCTGAGTTGCAAGCAAGGTCTCTTGGGAACTACTTCTTGAAGGCTGACGGGATATTAGTAAAAAACATGAACATTTAATTCAGCAAAGGTTACATGCTGTGATTAAAACTCGGAGTTATATGAAATAATGGAAGAAATACTGCTTTGCACTGTTGCTAGTATTTTTTTCTAAACTACTGGTTTCCTAACTTACATTCCTGAATATTGCTGGACTATAATTTCTAGAATTATTGACCATTGGTCATGCTGAGTGGACTTACTGGGGACTGAAGTCCAACATTATCTTGAGGTCCTAAATTTGAGAGTCATTCTTTCAAAGCACCCAGAGTTGCATAGATTCAGATATAAAAGTTCATCAGATGGATTCTTTATTGGTCTGACTTTTGAAAAAACAATGTACAGTTGTGCCCCGCATTACGATGAATCTTTTTGAAAAAACAACGTACAGTTGTGCCCCGCTTTATGATTGCCCCGCATTACGATGAATCTGCTTTACGACGAACTTTTTGCGATCGCAATTGTGATCGCAAAACCATGGTCTAAATGGGGGAATTTCACTTAGCGATGATCGGTTCCCTGCTTTGGGAACCCATTTTCGCTTTACGACAATCAAAAACAGCTAATCGTCGGGTTTTCAAAATGGCCACCGGGTGCTTAAAATGGCTCCCTGCTATGCTTAGGGACGGATTCCTCGCTATACAGGCAGCGAAAATGGCTGCCATATGGAGGATCTTCGCTCGACGGTGAGTTTTTACCCCATTGGAACGCATTGAACGGTTTTCAGTGCACTTCAATGGGGTTTTTAATTTCGTTTTACGATATTTTTGCTTAATGGCTATTTCCCTGGAACAGATTGTCATCGTTAAGCAAGGCACCAATGTAGTCCGTATGCAGTACCCAGTGCTTTAGTAAAGCATAAAAGGGAGTGGAACTTGGAACCCTTTCACCCTTGATGGTCAGATGAAATCCTAAAGGCTAGCAACTCAAGAGTCTTATTATTTAATATTTTAGTGATTTGTAGTTGACCTGTGGTTAATTCTTTAAAATGATATGCTCTTCAACAAACAGACTTTAAAAACTGATAATGCACAGATAGTTCCTTAAGAGCCTCACATCAGAGTTTCTTGCAGGAATACATAATAGCAAGAAAAGACAATAATCATTAATATTCCAGCAGCCAGCACCTTGACTTCTTGGCTCCTTGTCTGATGTTATCTTGCGTATGTGAGGGGGAATATATTGGCTGTAAAATACTGCTGAATTCTCAGATGCTGGGTGTCTGCAGCACAAACTCCTCTTCTCTAAGCTTGTTGTCAGCAGAGAAGCTCTCTCATAAGTAGCCCAATGCTTTAGTGAAAATTATGAATCTCCTGAATGATAAGACTTATCTTCCCTCTATATTTTCCAAATGTGTGAGAAGGCAAACCTTTAACTGAAACAAGATGCCAAATCATCTCACTTCAGAAAGCATTCTCCTTGAGCAACTGTGGATCAATAAAATGAGATGATGGCAGAGAGGAGGTGGCGTCTGGATGACAAGAAGATGCATTGTGGAGAAGTGACTTAACAGTAACCCAAAGCTAAACCCACATGTTTACATGGCAGTAAGTCCCACTGAATCCACATCATAAGGTGGGAATGTCAAACTGCAGCCCCAATACTACTGGTTTTCTTGACTTTATTCACTATTCTCCCCTCCAGATTTCTTTTCATCTTGATTGGGAGACTCATGCCCTTGCATTTCATTTTTCCTATTTATCTTTTTTCATCCAGTGTTCAAATGGGATTATTCTGTATCAAAACATCTGCAGGGCTCCAGCTTGAAAGGAGATTGCTTTAGGGCAGTGGCTTCCAACCTTGGGTCCCCAGATACTCTTAGACTACAACTACCAGAAATCCTGGCTGGCACAGGTAGTGGTGAAGGCTTCTGGGAATTGCACTCCAAGAACATCTGAGGACCAAAGGGTGGGAACTACTGCTTTAGGGTTTTTAGTTATTGAAATTAATAACCAAAAGGTTCTTTCTCTTCTTTCTACATTTTTCCATTCAGTACCCAACCATTTCTAAATGACTGTATCTTTTTGGAGTATATCTGGCTGTGTATCTTAGTTCTGCTTCTGTAAGTACAGCTGGCCTGTTGGAACTGAATAGGAATAAAGCTAAACCCTTTGTCTCTTCCTCCCTAGGAACCTGGTCTTCAAGTGTTCATTTGATCCTACAGGTTGTTTTGTAATATGGCTTGGAGTCGTCTTTCTTTCTCTACCCCTGTAACTTTACTTTTAAACTTTATGCCTGTACATTTTTAAGATCTATCTAATAGCATCAGTGTATTTCAGACGATCTGTGGCGCATGATCACTCTGTACATAAGGGTGCTGTCCCAGATCTATTGCATTTCACTATTGAAGAAGTTCCAGATCAGTATGGCCAGTGGACTCATCTAAAGATGTAGTGGGCACCACTTTTGTATAGTTGCCATGACATGTATGGCTCATCACAAAATGGCTATTGTAGGAGCCTGGCAAGTCACAAAAAACAAAAACAAACAAACAAACAAAAACAAATTACATGGTAAAGTTTGGTCTAAGCCCCTAATGTCACATATTTAATACCATACAATATAACACTCATTCCACAGAAGATGGACTGATGAGGCTGAAAACTAGCACACCTCTAGTCAGAGATCTGTCACCCTTCTTCCTCAATTCTTGCCCTCATCTTCTTGCTCCATTCTTTTTCCCTCCTGTGGAAGGTTGCGGAGAGGAAAATATAAAGTGATGGGGCTGGGAAGAGGAATAAATAGTGAAGATAAGGGACTGGGAGATAATATGGGGAGAAGGTAATTAGGAGTGTGACAACCCCAGACCTACTGGACGACTGGGAGATAGTATGGGGAGAAGGTAATTAGGTGAGACCAAGAGGTATCTCTTCTTCTTTGTGGCCTCTGTGAATGCACACAAAATGGGTTTTACTGTGCCTTGCAGGACTCTTCGGAATATTCTAGAGTTTATAAAGACATGAATAGGAGGATGTTGCCCCATGGTGCGCATGCTCTGCCCGCCTGTAATACCTCAGTTCCTTTTAGCTGCCGCTGAAATTGGACTCCCATGCTACTCCTAGAGCAATTTTGTGATTCTAATCTTATGGTTTTCTGATCTTCAGACTGCTTAATGTTTTCAGATTCTTGGATCATGGACTTAATCAAGTTTTTTTTACTTACGGACGTTTTCCTGTGAATTATCTCTTCTTTTTGTCTCCCCCCTTTCCCCCTTCCTTCCCGTCTTTTTACTTACGAACGTTTCCCTGTGAATTATCTCTTCTTTTTGCCTGCCCCCTTTCCCCCTTCCTTCCCGTCTTTTTTTAATGGTCTCCTCAGGCCCATTCAAGCATTGCATGGCATGTGCCAATAAAATTCCTTTTGTATTTGCGAAGGCTTTCACAGCCGGGATCTAATGGTTGTTGTGGATTTTTCTGGCTCTTTAGCCATGTTCTGAAGGTTGTTCTTCCTAACGTTTCACCAGTCTCTGTGGCCGGCATCTTCAGAGGACAGCACTCTGCACTAAGCACTTCCTTTTACTGATGGCCACGATCGTTGCTTGTTCTGTCTGGGTGGGAGTCACCAGACTCACTCTTGTCCAGAATATAAAAAGTTAACAAAACCGGCTCTTTAACTCTGGCTTCAACGACTTAGGTCCTACTTGTGGGAAAAATCCTTGGCACACTCCAGTCTTCCAACCAGTCCCACAATGGAACCTACCCCTATTCCAGTGCCTCGATCTGAGCCTTCCATTCTGTTGGCTCCTACTATTCCTTCACCGAGGTCCTCTACCAAGGTTTCCAAGCCTAAATCTCCCTCGGTACTGATGTCATCCTCAATGTCAAAGTCTTCCTTGGTTTCGGCAAAGACTCAGTCTGTTAAGAAACAAAAGGATAAGGATAGAGTCAAGCAAAAGAAAGCTAAGGGGGTTCCTAAGCCTCATCAGCCTCGTGAGCTGCCAGTTGTCTATGTTTCCCTCCTATCTCCCATCTTGGAGGAATCGTTAAGGGGCATCCTGGACCAAGACCATTTCCGAAGCAGGAGAGTCGGGTGCTTCTACTCGGGCTCAAGCTTTGGTCTTGATACTGAGCTTGTCTCCAAGTCATGGCCGTTCTGAGGCTGATATCATATCCAGCCCGGCCTCTGCCCATTCTAGCCCTGTTTTGACAAGGCGGGCGACTGTTATCCATCTTTTAAACTCGGAAGCATCGGTCTTGCAGTCCCCTCCGTGGAAGAGGACAGCAAAGCGGGGTCACATTTCCCCATTCTTGTAGTATCGGGAGGTAATCCTTGTTCTGTGTCCATCTCAACGCCATGTCTTTCCTGAATATGGAGATTCCCTTTATGACTTTGATTGGCATGGTGATCGCCACTGATACAGTTTTGACGAATTTGATTCCGAGATTCGATCAGGACTGTTATGAGCATTCCAAACGTGTTCGGTACGCTTATGCCCCATCCGAGTCCTCTCCATCGCCACCACCGCCTCTTCTTCTGAGTTGACATCAAGTTTATTATGAGTTCAGTCCTATGGTACCAGTGTGCAAGAAGTCTGCTAAATGCCATATGTCTAGCTCTGAAGTACCGCGTCGCGATCCATCTCCATCTCAACACAAGCCCTCTCGACATGAACCTGTTCCATCCAAGTGCCCACACTCTTCTACGGTGCCATCAGCTTCAACATCGCGCCTGACTGCTTCTTTACCTGGATCCCACTCTGCCCATCAGGTCCCAGCACCAACCCCTCTTGTTCCTGTTTCTCGAGCTCGTCAACGTTCTCCCTCTCCAACTCTCTCCATCTATGGAGGAGGTTCTTCGGTGTTGACAGTTTCTGAGCATAATTTTCCCTCTGAG